AAATAAAAAATTTATAAACTTCGGATAATGTTAAATCCTTGGATCACGAAAGTTGTTGAAAGTTGTAGATGGCGGATTTTGTCTCGTAGGCACTGTGCGGCTGTGAAATGTATGAGTGCAGGTGCTTGTACACGCTCTAGGCACAAAGAGGAGACGAAAAAAAATGTCAAATTATTACTTGCCCTTATGCGGGCGTGCGTATATATGTATGTAATAGCTTGGATCGCTCAGCGCAGAACAGCGCGACGCTTGCCCAATATACATGTATGTATGTAAAAATTGATATAAATAAAAATAGGATTTATAAACTTCGGATAATGTTAAATCCTTGGATCACGAAAGTTGTTGAAAGTTGTAGATGGCGGATTTTGTCTCGTTGGCACTGTGCGGCTGTGGAATGTATGAGTGCAGGTGCTTGTACACGCTCTAGGCACAAAGAGGAGACGAAAAAAATGACAAATAATTACTTGATATGCCCTTATGCTGGCGTGTGTATATATGTATGTAATAACTTGGATGCTCAGCGCAGAATAGCGCGAAGCTTGCCCAATATATATGTATATATGTAAATAATTGTGGAAATCGATGCTCGATATACATATGTATGTAGATAATTGTGGAGATCGATTCTCAGCGCAGAATAGCGCGAAGCTTGCCCAATATATGTATCGTAAATTGATATAAATAAAAAATAGGATTTATAAAATTCGGATTATTTTAAATCCTTGGCTGACGAAATTTGTTTCTTGAAAAACTTTAGGGTTTTTATTGGCACAGTGGAGCGTCGAGAAGTGGACTGTATTGAATTGTGCGAACAGAAAAATGTGTACGATACAGCATACAAAAATATAGTGACAGCGGAAGACTGTTCGGTGATCAGGGTGAATTCCCGCAACAAGTGCTCACCGGCTGGCCAATATTAATTATGCCTTTCTTTTTGAAACACACTTTCACTGTTCACGGAGAACTTTTTTTGTACGGAAATATTAGCACAAGTTTAGAATGCGTGTGTGTGTATGTGGATGCACATAGGCCTCGACCGTTGGCAAATGGATGAACAACGGGAAATCGAAGAGACGGCGAGGAGAATGGCGGCGCACACAAAACGGACACGGATGGAAAATTTCGAAGTTCGGAGGCGAATAGAAAGTGGGATTTCTCACTGCCGTGGTGTCAGGAAAACTCGGACGGGGAGTTGACACGAACAAAACAATAAATTTTGCAGCGGTGCGACCGAAATTAAATGTTCTAAGACCGGCAGCGAGAACAAGACGGAATCAAGCATATACTTATCTCAGCGGAAAAATCACCGGGAACTGCTGGTGAAAAGACGGAAGGATATCCGTATCCGGCTCGAAGGACCAATGCTTCTAGGGGGGCGATCCTGCCGCTAAAGATCCTGGAAAATGTAGCCCAATGAAAACTCCCACGTCGCAAGCGAAATCGAAGAGTAAAGGCGGGGGCGTCGTGGGCAATTCAAAATCGTCAGCTTTATTGCGCTGCATACATGGTAATAAATAGCTTAAATGTAAGGGCTGCGCTCCCGACCGATAAGATACGCTTAACAGTGCGAGAGCGGGCCCGAGAAGTGGAGCGCGAACTAGCCGTTCCTCAGCTCGCTTAGCAGCGAGCGAAACTCGGGAACTCGGGAGCGGGCGTTAACGAACATCATAGAGTGGGCGCGGGAGCGCTTAGACTAGCCCGACCATGACCATGGGCCGAGAATCCGCAAAATCTTTAAGGTCTGTGAAGCATAAAAAACACCGTTTGATTTGTATGTTTAATTGTATAAACAACTAACAAATATACTTTCCCGATAAATTTTGATGCGCTGTTGGGCTTTAATTCGCCGCTCTTATATTAATCTCTCAAGAGAAATAATTTCCTATTTTTTATAGTTTAAGAGAATGGTTTCTTATCCTATATAAATCTTTTTTTATGAACTTAGAATAAGTATATATTTAATATTTTCTGTGTGTGTTAGAACCGTGCCGGTAACTTTTTGGTTTTTAATTGTTCATTGTTCATTTTAAAGATGCGATGGTTCGTATTTTAAGCAAAAAAAAAATGGTCTAACAATCTGTCACATAAATTCTCTGAATCTGTGTAACAAAAGCAAATTACTTGACGATATTGAATCTTTAGGTGTATAAATAGACCGTCAGCCGATAGGGTACTCAGGGGGATCAACGGATGACCGTGTCATTTGCCGTAACTGTGTACACTATCGGTAGTGCGACTATACTCTTCAAGTGAGGACGGCTGGAAGCAGGTCCCCGGTCGAGGTTCGACCTAGGATGCTGACCAATTGTATTCGGGCGGACTTAGGCAAGTCTTTAAACAGCCTCCCCTCAAGTCTGGTGTGTGACGCGACCCGTGCACACTGACTTCCAGGTTTGCAGCTGAGGGGTTAATCCAGCTGTGGCTGTACGGAGCCTTCCCAGGGCCAGGCAACCCTGGGTCGGTCGACCTGTTTTTCAAAGCCCCAAACCCCCTCTGGCCTGCTGCGCTTGCCAGGACGAGCAAAGCGTGCGTTTATGAATTGACATGAATACCACAAACCGAGCTTCGGAACTCCCGGGAGAGGATAAATCCCAAAAACTGTCAACGAAGGACGACAAGGAGTTGCTGAGGCCGAGATTGGTCGCGGCATCTCACATTGTATCGGAGACCGATGAAGAAGAGTCGCGGAGATGAACTTTGGGAACGCATTCTCGACCTCATACCCATCAAGGGAAGACTGGAGTAGGGGCAGAGTAGTAGTAGAGAACGAGGAGTCCCTCTACACCGATGGCTCAAAAATTAACTGCGGTGTAGGGGCTGGAATTTACGCTGAAAATTGGGGAAGTTAAAAGGCTTTCAATCTCTCTAATTCAGCGACGGTCTTTCAGTCTGAGTTACTAGCCATAAGGGAAGCAGTCGAACTTTCCTTAAGGCAGGACCTCAGGGACACCAGAGTGCGGATCTACTCGGATAGCCAAGCTGCTATAAAATCCCTAGCTGCCGTGAAAACAAACTCACGCCTATTGGCAGAATGCAAAAAGGCCCTTAATAGACTTGCTGATAAAAATGAGGTACAAGTAATATGGGTACCGGGAAACAACGAGATCCCAGGAAATTAGAAGGCAGACGAATTAGCCCGTGCACGCTCGGCAGGGCTAAGTTCTGACTTCGAATTACCGATCTCCCTAAACGCGATCCAGACAAGGATCCATGACCACTTCAAGCAGATAGCTAAGATAGCAAAGAATGACTAAGTAAGAGCGATCAAAGAAGGTCAAGGGAATGTTGGCCGAGGTAGGACAAAAAACGAATCAGTGAACTGCTATCCAACAGCAAGCGGGATATTAGCAGGATCAGCGATCGGTTCGCACGCAATGAAGATGGGATTGTCAATACAGTCTGTAGAAGCTGTAAGTAAGCTACAGAGCAAGAGACACCGGAACATCTGCTCTGCTTCTGCCCAGCGCTAAATCACATCAGACTTCGCCACTTTGGTGCCTACCAGATGGAGTCACTGGGAAGTATAGGAAAGCTGAATGTTTCGGCAATCCTTGGTTTCCTTACTGACTCTGGTTGGTACTTATAGTGATCAGGATCGCCAACAACAAATAGAGGGAGTGGATCAAAAAGGAGCTTAGCTCTAATTGGAGGCCCTAGTATCGGGCCTTACCACTGTAATCTACCTACCTAAATTGAAACTCCGTGATACTAACACATTACACCAGTACAGTAAGTACCTTGCTTGAAGTAGTTTTTTTTTACGATAATTGACTTACAACGAACAAATTGACTGCACTAAGGAAAACTTTAAGTATAGAGACTTTAGAAATATTGACTATGATATCTAAAACTATGACGCGTGTCAATCTGATCGCTAACATTGAATATCTATATGGGATTCGAAATAAGAGGGTTTCCTTAAGCTTACCCGTAAGGCAACCCGTAATCAGTTCGCCATTTAAATAATAGCCGATATTCTAAGACCACCTAAAATAAAGCGATTTGTACAAGAAATGGTCGTTTGGCATCACTAGAGAGATGTGAAAACGAAAAAAACTTCTAAACTAATCTAATAAGAGCTATATTTTGAACAAATCCCAAAGGAAGATCTTTATATATAAATATACGAATATGAATATATGAATAAATCACTACATCTTTCATGAAAATACGTGTTAAATACTCTACTTCCTAGTTTAATAATAGCATTAAGAGGACTATAGATAAAAAGACAAAGCATATGCCGACTGGATATAAATCTGCTTATTTATATGGGCTATTTAAAATTAAATGGGCGCATTCGTTAAAATTGTAGAGGATATTTGCCGAAAAATAAAAAAATGCATACATCTCAAACAGAAAGCAAGCTGTTGTTGTTGGGGAAAACGTGTTAGGACTTTGAGTCACCACTCGTGGTGTTTTAGGGCCGATACAGTTTAAAATCTAAGATAATGACCAGCCGAATGTTTCGTCTGTGGGTATGAATGAGGATAATGTTTAGATGGACGTCAGGCATTCGTTAAGTCAAGTTGAGGAATGTATAAATATATGTAATCTTGATTTGATAAATGTTCATAATTGGGCTAAGAAAAATGTTCTAAACCGCTGAAATCGAAATGTCTTTCAACACATAAGAGAAAAACATACAAACGGATCATTTACAGAAGCTGTAATCTACATTAAAAAAATGAAATATTAACTTTTTTTATAAATTATAATGTTGATGATTTTTTGACCTACAGAATATTGTGATATTACAAAAGTCAAATCAAAACTTTACGTCGTACCTTTTCACCTAATTTGGTAAAGTTAGATTTTATAGTCGACGAGATCTGTTGTTTCCAACGTAGGGACTGTCGGTTAATCTTTATCAAGACTATAAATAATTAATATTTAGGAAATGCGAAGTTTTCGATCTTCCAGAAAAATGAAATCTTTCCCCAAACAGGAAGCAAAAACAACTTCTTTTAAGTGACTACGGCTTAAAGAGCACTTACTTTAATTCATTCCGCATCATACGGTAAATATCGTACTGATAGTCTCCAGTAGCTGAAAAAAGGTCTTCATCACTTGACAAATCATTAAAATAGCAAGATTGGCCAATAGTTATTCTTGAAAGAGTGTAGTCAATAATAGATATTTTAACTCCTTTTGAAGGAAGTGTCAAGTCATTGTTCATAAATTTAAAATAAATGTCTTTCTTTTTAGTATCTTTAATTAAAACGTTGCCCCAATGAAGATCTCTGTGCTCAAATTGGCACTCCTCTTCACCAATAGCCAGGGATAAAATAATCTAAAATGAAATACAAGGTCAAGGTTTTACAATACTTATCTGTGTAATTCAGTTACATATTTTAAGCAATTTACCTGTTGCAATACAAAATATGATTGTTCTGCATTGGTAAATTTAAAATTTGACATGTCATTTCCCGCAAACTCCAATTCTAGAACTAGATATAGTTGGTTGACTGCAAAAACTCGAGGATGGTCATTCTCAGAATTCTTTTCAGAGTCGTATTTTTCCCAAAGCTGTATTAAATGATGTGGATATTTTCCTCTAACTAATGTTGCCTATTGGTTTAATATAAATAAAAGAAGAACAAAATTTTTAATTTTGATTATTTCTCAAAGTCGATATTCAATTAAACAAGAAAGAAAGCGAACTTCGGTACGCCGAAGTTTATACATACTTGCATATAGAGCTTCAATGACTAGGAATCCATACAATATAAATTATATATATTTATGTTTAAAAACAATGAAGTAATACCTGCTTTCATTTCATTCACCTATACATATTAACAGTTTTACATTCACTAACGATCGTTTGTATGGCACCTATATGATATAATCGTACGATTTTCATTAAAGTTGACACAAAATTTAAGACTAATATAAAATGGCTATACCTCAAATTTGATGAAAATCTGTTAAAAACTGAAAATGTTATAATTTTTAAATGTATTAATTTCTCGATCGTTCCTATGGGAGATGATACAGTAGTCCGATTTTCATAAAATTTTACACAAAATTGTAAAGTAATATGAAATGGCTATACCCCGAATTTGATCAAATTCTGTTGAAAACTGAAAAGCTATAATTTTTAATTGTATTAATTTCTAGATCGTTCCTATGGGAGATATATGATATAGTAGTTCGGTTTTCATATAACTTTACACAAAATTGTACAATAATATGAAGTGGCTATAGCTTGAGTTTGATAAAAAGCTGTTAAAATCTGAAAAAGTTTTAATTTTTAATAGTATTAATTTCTCGATCGTTTTACACAAAACTGTAAAATATTATAAAATGGCAACATCTTAAGTTTTTATAATTTTTAATTGTATTAATTTAATTGAATGCTGAAAAATTTATAATTTTAAATTGTATTAATTTCTCGATCGTTCCTATGGGAACATTTATAAAATTTTACACAAAAATGTAAAGTAATATAAAATGGCTATATCTCAAATTTGATCACATTCTGTAGAAAACTGAAAATGTTATAATTTTTTTTTGTAAACATTTTCCTATCATTCCTATGGCAGCTATATGATATAGTCTTTTGATCCGGCCCGTTCCGACATATATACGAGTGAGAGTACACACAAGGCTAACAAAAAAGTTTCAATCAGATAGCTTCAAAACTGAAAGACTAGTTTGCGTAGAAACGGACAGACGGACATGGCTAGATCGACTCGGCTGTTGATGCTGATCAAGAATATATATACTTTATACAGTCGGATGTGGCTCCTTCAGTGCGTTGAAAACTTCTTACTGAAATTATAATACCCTGCAAGGGTATAATAAATTAATTTATTAATATATTTTAATTGCGTTGGACCACTAAGCAAGAAATACATAGAGGAGTCAAACAGTACCAAAAAGTACTATCACAAAAACGGCTGAGCCTGGCACCCCAGAGCACCCGAACGATATGTCTAGAACCCCAGAGTGCGTTCGGCTTTTTCGAGTTGGAAGCATTTGTTCGAAACCGAGCACAACAAGAATTCACTTTTCAGTGGCAGATCGACCGTGGAACGATGAGCAGGGGTGCGTTTCTTTGCGCTGTGCTCTCGTTTCTGTGTATATGTGTATATGTGTACAAGCGCTCGCACGTTTGTATGCGTGTTCAAATTTCTGCATGCAGTCTTTTTCAAAGATTTTGGACGGCCACAGCCAGTACGCCGCGGCGGCGGCTCACTTGCTCATGACGTCACAGCAATACTTAGCGGCTAGTGCTTGCATTGGGGGACAAATTATTTAAGTTATTTCACTATAATTACTACTTATTTTAATTTAAGTTTTGTTTTTCCTGACAATGTATTTCCCAAGTCATTTTGTTGATGAATCATCGATGAATTGTTCATGAATTTGTTGTTGATTTATGCCAAAAGGCATAAATATATACCGCCTAAGTTCCAAATGGATCTCGGTGGCCTGCAAGCCGACTAAAAATTATTTGCAAATAAGGAAATCGGCAGGGATTTTTGGAAGCAAGTGCCTACTGACCAGTATTCGAACCTTAAAGCTTCAATGCTTCAGTTGGAAGCATGGTTATGCTCTTTTTCTAAAAATTTTTTGGCGTACTAAACATATATTTTTATTTCAGACAAATTAAATACAACAAATAGATTAGAGCTATTTACCTAATTGTATCCGCAATATATTTTATATTGTTTAAATTAATACAGCCTAAGCAGAAAAATGTAATTAATTTTCAGACAGAAAAATAAAACGACATTAATAAAACTAGAAACCAAAAAACTCTTATACTGTTCACACTTCCGTGACTCTTCTCGAAGAGCCACTTGCGAGTCCTTTAGAAGAGTCGCTTTCGAGTCCCATTTTCTCCCGACAGAAGATCAGAAAGCGATATCGCGGGCGATCAAATTAATCTTCTAGAAATGGTTTGCATTAAGTAAAGATTAAGTTGACTTCGACCAGTTAATAAAAAACATTCTTTAAAAGAAATCACAAATTTTTGTCTGTGTATTTACTTTCCTAAAATTTTTTTCAGGCCCATAATTGCGACGCGCAGCGACTCTGATTTTTGTTAAAATTCCTTTATTTTTGTGCCCATGTATGATTTAAATCATGTATTTTTCTCATTGCAGTTAACAGCACCATTAGGGCAGATGCAGTCCAGTGTGACCAACACCCAGTACAAATGGTCTTAATCGAGAATTTTCCCAAGACTCAATATACAAAAAAAAATGTTTCAGAACAGCCATGTGCGCCTCCCTGACGTCAAGTTTTAGTAGCTTCTTTATGCATCTCTACACGTGAGCCACAGCCTTGATTACAAGTGGCACCAATGTGTCCTGCTCCTGAAGAGCGTTCGAGATCCCTGGATACTTGGTATGGCTAATTTGCAGTTACATATATTGCACGTGATTGCCAAAGAAAATATAATTACTAAAATGATTAACGGCCACACATTAGTTGCGCAATATCAGGCTTTTTTTATGGCAACGACAATCGCGCTGGTGTAGAACAAGCAAGTGCGTATGTGTGTGCTTTTGTTGAAAATTGAAATTATTTTCTTCACATGTTTTTCACGTCGCACGCTAATACCCTTATGTTTCAATGTGATGTCATGTATAAAATTAATTTGTTTATAAACATCCGGCCATTACTATCAAACTACAGGGGTAGTCAGAAGTATTCACAAATTCACAATTATTTTCACCGCCAAACTTATTTTTGTTATTATTCTTGTTTTTGTTGACCGATTTCCATGAAATTTTTTTTTATTGCATAAATTGATCTATTCAGAAACAAGCTGAAAACAAAAGATAACGCTTCATAGAAAATATTAAAAGAAAAAGAAAATATGTCTATTTATTTTGGATATAGCTTAATAAACCCAAATTCAACCAATTGAAAGCCTTCATCGATACCAAAGAACATTTTTTGAACTATTAAAAAAGTAATTTATGAGATTCTTGCTAAAAAAATATTAAATTTTAATAGCATTAAACTTAAGACGAAAACAAATTATGTGTAAATATTACACTGCAGATGAATCTATTCTTTTACTTATAGCACTTTTCTATGAATTGTTATCTTTCTAATTCCTTTTTAGCTCGTTTCTGCATAGATCAATCTACGCAATAAAAAATTTCAGGAAAAACAGTCAACAACGACAAGAATAACAACTAAAAGATATTTGGCTATGAAAATGTTCGAAGTGTAAATACTTTTGACTGCCTTTGTATATTCGAATAATTATAATATAAAATATTCGTTTTTTGATATGTGAAGCAAGTGTCTTCCAAAATGAACTTAGAACTTATAAAGTGAAGAGAATATTTTAATCCGTTAAAATTCGTGTGGACACAAAAATCGGCAACTATCGCTGCACGCGTACTCGAGAGCGGCTGGCTCTAGAGCCATCTCTCATTGGCTTTTGCACGAAATATAAGAGAGTCTAAGACCAGTTCAAAAGCGAGCACGAAAAAATAGTGTGCAAAACAATCTTCTCATCTCATCTTAATTAACAATTCTATTGACTTTGGTATTGCTGTATGACTCTTGGACGTTGATGCACTAAGGTCAGTACATTCAAGTGGCCCGTATGACACCAGGCACGTACCTGTTTGGGTTAGGTGTTAGTAGGCGCGATGGAAAATATAGGACAGAATACAAGGAAATTGACTACCGGCGTGCTGCGAGATTGTTAGCTTGCATGCTTACCAAGTGTGTTAGTATTAAAGATTTTAATTTGGGAAGGTTATCTACGATAGAGATTAGTGTGTACAAATCATTATAATTTGCACATAGCACTCTAAAGGGTTCATGCAGTTCAAAGGAGGTTCTACAGTGGCGCAACACTAATGGGATATAGGATCTAGTAGTTCTACATGGTACATGGAAATTAAGCTGACTCAACAAATCAGCACTTTCCACATCACCATGTATAAGGTTAAAAATAAAGGTTATCCATAGCATCGTTCTACGATTGGCTAAGGACGGCAAGTTTATTAATAGGAGTCTACTAGAGTAGGAAGGTAATCTTTGGTTTGCATCCCAATTTAAACCGCGTAGAGCAAAAAGTAAAAAGTTCTTTTGAACCGACTCAATGCAAACGCAGCATCCATATTCTAGGATAGGACGAACTAAGGAAGTATATAAGGATTTAGTAACATAGGGGTCATTGAATTCCTTCGACCACCGTTTAATAAATCCAAGCACACCCCTTGCTCTATTTACCATAGACGAAATATGATCAATAAAGTCAAGATTTGGGTCCAAGCGGACACTCAAATCGTCAACAGAATTAATTTTTTCCAAAGTGCAGCAGGAACGACACGAGAGAATGTCATTAGCTTGCATTTCGAGCCATTTAAGTTTAATAAGTTTACACGGCACCAAGTTTGAAAATTATTAAGATCTGTTTGTAAATCCGACTGGCAGGCAACGTCATTGTATTGCACGCAAAGCTTGACGTCATCCGCGTACATAAGTACTCTGGAGTTAGTCAAGACTTTTGGCAGGTCATTTATAAATAATGTAAACAATAAGGGTCCCAAATGGCTTCCTTGCGGGACGCCAGATGTAACCCTTAG